TATATATATACATGTCAATTTGTAGAAGAAAATATATGCTATGATCCACCAAATTATCCTACACTTTTGAAGTGGTTCCTAAAAATAAACATTTGAGAACTGCTGCCTTAACATTTCCAAAATTGGAAGCATAATTTCTACCTTGTTTGTTAGTGTTTAACATGACAAGGGGCTGAATGTGTACATCTTTACATTGGTAGAAAATCACCTTTAAAGGTTTTGATGGTATTCTTATCAAAGTAAGAATCAAAGTCAATTGACTAGGGATATTAATCCTTGTATACACTCTGCAGTGTTGAAAGTACTATTCCTGTTGTCATTCAGTATGTTTTATGTTTTGTCATGTGCATTCTCTCAATTGTTGAAAAGTTGTAAAAGTATCCTAATATAACTGGGGTTATAGTTTTGGCACATTAATGAAGACATTATTAAACTTGCGGAAGAATCTTAACTGCTGTATTGGATGAAATAGACATTTTCACTATATCCTTTTTCTCTGTCATATACTTTGTCAGTTTGCCAGTAAGTGCTGTGACAAGGATGCTGAATACCCACAATTTTCCATGTCTTTTGGTCCAGCTGATAGAGCATTGTCCATGGACCTATCATGAAGAAGGTCTGTATTGCGTGTTAGAAATTCTCTCTGTGTATACCAAAGTAAAGTAGTGAACATCTCCACGTTCTTTGTTTATTAGGAAAGAATGGATTCAAAAATCTGACCTTTTCTGGTTGATACCTCTTTTTCCATTGGCTAAAAGATTATCAAGGCTCCTACTGATTAAATTCTTGGTTATTTGTGGAAATAGTTTAGGATGTTGAGATTGATTAGGAAATTCTTCCAAATCCCAAGTCTTTTTTATGCCATTTGTCCTCCTTGTTTCTGGCAGCACATATAACATTTCAGTATGCCTAATAAATGCCTTTGTAGATTATTTTTAAGGCTGTGCAGCTCCTTCAAAGCAAATGATTTGGGACATGTGGAAGCACATAAAAAACACCTTTTCAAATCTTTAAAGCAGCCATGTCTTTTTACAAGCTTATATGTCTCCTTTGGAAGTTGTTCCTGGCTATCACTGTATGCAAGTATATATATAGCATACACATACAAACAGGTGGGAGCTGCATGAGTCTGAAAAAAGGCATGGCTACTTTAATTATTCAAAAAGACAAGCTTCTGAAGTAACTCACATATTTTGAAAGACTTCTTTCAAAGAATGTGTTGCCCTATCATTTCCCATCATTTTTGGATGGCTCTGCCCAACATCTACTGTTTTCATTACTTTGTGGATTACAGTTGATGCAACTTGTGCTTCATTTCATTTCATGTTCATTTCAGTAAATCTAATTAGTATTCTGCTTGTATATGGGTCTTTGTGCATGTACACAACAGGTTTCCTTTCATCAAATAACTCTGTATCAATAGTTTCTGTCTTTGTTTATTTGTATTTAGCTATCTTTTTCTCTTTCTTTATACCTGGATGGGGGTTTTGCCTCTGGAATGGCTACATGGAAAGATAAACAGAAAAATGAGGAGTAAATATGACAGTCCATTCAACAAGCTGCAGTGCCTACTGATGGGTTTCCCTTCCATATAATTATAAGTTGATACATTAGTTTGATGTTACAAACAAACAGAACCCTATGGGTTTGAGAAGGGTGTTTGTCCAAGATAGATATTAAGGGCATCTCAAAATAAAATTAAATTTGTGAGAAGCATTGATTTTAAGTGAACTCTAAGGTTCAGCAAGCCTCAGCAGATGACAAGGAGCACCTACCCAATTGTGGTTGACCTCAGAAGGAAAGTGGGATCAGCCCTGCTTAGTACTGTATATGGATGGAGGATTACCTTGAATTTCAGGGCTTCTGGCTAGACTTGAAAAAACATCCCAGAAAAAAACAACAGCAAACTATTTTGATAGTTGCCAAGAACAACATAATGAGGGTTTACATTTTTTAAAGGTTCAACAAGAGATCATTTGTATTGTTATATCTGAACATTTTATTTCATTTCAGTGGAGAAGCCTTTTTCCAATTTATATCTTCCAGATATGTTTGGAGTTGCAGATTGGGAATTCTAAGAGTTGAAGGCCAAGCACATCTGGAGGACACTGGGCTAAAAAAGGTTACTGGAGAAAACCCTATTATGCAGACTGTAACTCTCCGTTCTACTGCCCATGTGCCTTGTGCTGAAAATACGTTTCCAACATTTTCAGTTGGACCAATGCAGCTTTTACTATTTTATGCAACTGAAAAATATTACTAGCTAAAATATGCTGTTTTAACCTGCAGAGTAGTTTCACATTTACTGTCTTCTAAATTGAATTTTAACAGAATCAATTAGCAAAATCAAAATGGTAATTGGTAATTCAGTTATTCAGAATTGTAATTTGAAAATATGATTCCAAATACAATGGACCAAAAGGTATGATGAAAGAGGTTAATACTTCATGAGAGATTCACAGCGCTTAAAAAAAAATAGTACTGGGATTCTAGTTCTGCAAAAGAGAGCCCCAGTAAGGAAGCTTTGACTTTCTTAACAGTTATATAACCTTTAATCATTGAGCCTTTCAAGGATAAAAAATAAGCTGGAAAAAGGCAAAAATCCAGATCCTAAGGTATTGGTAATGCATCCTCCTGAAAAGATTCTTCTGTTCTGTTCTGTTCTGTTCTGTTCTGTTCTGTTCTGTTCTGTTCTGTTCATAATACCTTCTTCACCTTTCAAGAAATGGTGTAATTACAGGTAGTCTTCACTTAACAACCGCAAGTGGGACTAGCAACTCTGTTGCTAAGTGACACATTCATTAAGTGAAGCATCATATGACCGTGCCAGACTACAACATCAGTTCCGCTGCGGCTGTTAAGTGAATCACCTGCAGTCGTTAAGTGTGACATCATGTGACCATCACTTGTGGCTTACTGCTGGCTTTGCCATTGACTTTGCTTGTGGGAAGCTAGCTGTGAAGGTTACAAATGGCAATCACGTGACCGCAGGACACTGCGACTGTTGTAAATGCACACCGGTCGCAAAGTGCCCGAATCGCTATCACGTGAATGCAGGGACCCTGTGACTGTCAGGCCCAGCCCAAGAACAACAGTGAAACAGTCCAGTTGAGTTAAGTTCCTTTATTTACTTACACCTTATAGACAGAATCTTGCCAGACTAAATCTATGCTACTGCAACAAGTGGATATACCCTGGGAGATTCTAGGGAGTGGTTATCCTGAACCTCTTTTATTTCCCATGCTCCTCCTGTGGACTGTGTGGTCTTTTGTCTCCTTTCCCTTCCTGGAATGCACCTCCTCCTTCCTGATAGCCTTGATCTCTCACATCACCCTCCTCTTAGATACATTCCATCACATCGACCTTCCTAAATGCATGCTGGTTGTGAAGTGCCTGAATCAGATCACTTGACTATGGGGACACTGCAACCATCATATGTTCGAGGACTGGTCATAAAACTACTTTTTCAGCACTGTCGTAAGCTTGAATGGTCGCTAAACAGGGCAGTTGTTAACTGAGGACTACCTGTATATGTATCAAAGTTAAATAGTTTTTAATAATAAAAATATATTTCTTTCTTATATTTTTCCTAGGAAAATTGAAGAAATTTGAGAATGGTTCATGGTATGAAGTTGCCCATAAAGACTGTATGAAGATGACTAAATTGGATGGGCAAGTGTGGCTTGCTCTTTATAACCTGCTCCTTAGCTCAGAATGCCAGCGCAAGTACGAACTGAATAACTTTAACAAAAGCCAGCTCCTCAAGGTACAGGATTGCAAAACGGGCAGACCATTTATGTGTACTTTATGTTTTTCTTAGCATGTTTAGACCTAATATTCTATTCTAGTTTTAAACAGTATAGCAGGGAACAGGAATGGGAATGTGTAATATTTCCTCAGATAACCCATCCCAACTAGTGGGTGCTTGTAGAGCTGGAACTACCAGTCAGACTAACTGCATCTCTGTTATCAATTTATTTGCAGTTAAATACATTTTTTATTCAGGTGGGCTTCTAGTGCTTAACCAGATATGCTTTTGAAGTAGGTTAGTATAGTATGGGCAGTGATTTCTTCCTAACTGATGAGTTTATATTTGATATTTTTAATTTGATACTTTAAACATTGTTATTTTATATGTATTTCATATTAGTTTGAGCATTATTGGATGTGGAAAGATACACACACACACACATAGATATACATACATACATGAACAACATGAATAAACTAGGATAAACATAGGGCTGAAAGCCTTAACTGAATAAATAGGTCAAATTGTAACTCTGATTGATTATTGGATAATCAGTGAAGAACAAATTTTAACTGTGAAATAGGATGCTAAAAGCTTTTTTATTTGGCATCATTAGGTATTTTTGTTCTGAAAATAAGAAATAGAAAATAAGCATGCCAAACTTTGAATATAGACTTTTTTTCCCTTCAGATATAGATTTACTTTTGCATATTAATTTATTCACTATCTGAAAACATAGTTTGAAAAAATGGATTGATTCTTAAATATAATGGATTAATACATTAATATATGTTGGTGACTACATAAATCATCTAGTGTTATACAAACATGCAAAACAATATTAAAAATGTGTACATAGTTTACAATTAGACACAAAGTGTCAGCCTAGTCCTTGTACAATTAATATACACATATAATTCATTGAAGATGACAGAATTTGCAGAAATGGCAAAATTGTCTTTTTTGATTAGGGAGAAGACAACAACTACATTAATTAGTGATTGGAAACCCTTTATGGACTTTTAGCTGAAAATGGAAAAAAAATGAATTCTTGACTTATGGATTTGATGATTAAAAAGGGTAGAATATGGGAAGAAGAGAATTATGATGTAATCTTAAAGAGGGAGGATAGATGGTAAATTTGTTTGCAATTGCTCTAAAGAAAATCGGAAGCCACTTTTTTATATATTTTTTCCTTTCTTTTCTTTCTCTCCATTTACTTTCTTTTTTCATTTACTTGTTTTGTACCTTTCTTCACTCTTTCTGTTCTACAAATTTATACTGTATGTTCGTCTTTTATTATTCTAAAAAATATGTTCATAAAAATTATGAATGTACACACATGCACACATATATAATTCATCACCTCCCACACTGATCATTCAAATTAGAAGTGGTAGATCATCCATATTTCATTTCAGTCTTTTTACCAGTTAGAATTACATTGTGCCTTCATCAAAATCAAAATACACTTCTGCATAAAACTATATTTCAGGAGAGCACACAACTTCATAACGTTATACAGGTAGTCCTCATTTAGCAACCACAGTTGGGATTGGCAACTCGGTCACTAAGTGATGTAGTCACTAAGTGGAAAATCACATGACCATGACTGTGCTTCCAATTTTACTTCAGCTTTCCGTTTTCCCCACTACCCTGCCCTTTGGAATGCTCACCCCAGCACTGAGATAATTAGCAAAAAGGGAATTAATGTTTATATTTACATTCATTGGAGCGGAAGGTATTACAGGAGAGTAAACAGGCACCCAATGGGGAATACAGTACACACTTAAAGGAATGTGGTGGCATCAGCAGCCCTGAGTGTGCTACGCAAACAGCTGGTGTATTCCCTGCTGTTTACCTGCTTACTCTCTTGTAATCCCTTCCTCTCCAATCTCTCTGCCGGGAGGGGGGGGAGAAAAAAATGGGTCAGGCACAAGAGAGATTACTTAAAGTTCTCATAATATTTATTTTGAAATATAAAATATGTGCATTATTTAAAATTGCTTTGTATTTGTTTGTCCTTATTTCTGTTTAGCTTCGTGCCTTCCTGACTGATGTTCTTGTTGACCAATTTCCCAATCTTTTGGAGATGCAGAAATTCCTGAGCCATCTTGCGATAACAGATCCTGCTCCACCCCAGAAGGACCTCATACTGGAGCAGGTATGTGCATCACTACTCCTTTTGTCCTATTCTTATGTTCCACAGTCCCAGAAAATATCATCTATATATCTCTATATTCTGAATACTCTTTCCCATGTGTATCTTGAGCAGATGATACACTGAAATGCTATATTATCTATTTGAGATAGTAATGGGAAACTATATATAGATTCTAGATGTATTAATCATTTTAAAAATATGCAAATGTATATTTCATTCTCTCATCAACAGAAGATGAAATGGATTTTTTTTCAGAATGTTGTATCACCACCATTATTATAGGACTATACAGCCACTACAATTAAATCTGTAAAATCAGAGAAGGCTCCTAGTCCTTATGGTTTTCCCAGTGTCATGTTATAAAATGTATATGGTTTTTATCTTTTGTTTTATTGGAATTATATGGTGAAACTTCCTCTGGTTAATTTCTTACTGTTTAGTCTTAAATGAAGCAAATATTAGTTATTCCCAAGCCAGGCTAGGATTCTAATTATAAACCTTACTAAACATGAATGTTAGGATTTTAATTTAAACTACATTACAGTTTGTTCTTCTGACTACTGAGCTCAAGCTGAATGTATACAAATTTTTCAAACTTCTGACAATATTAGATTTTTATTGGATGATTTTGCCTTAATTAAAATAAATCCCAGCAACTATAATTTCTTAGGATGCTGAGAAAGCCTTTGGCATACTTTCTTGTATGTTTTTAAAGCAGGTATTAGCTTGTTTTGAGTTCCCCCAAGCCTGCTTGCAAGATTTACGTAGCTTCCTCGTGGCAGTTGGCCTTTTTCTACAAAGTGACTTGCTTGGCTGGTAATGGAGTCACCCCACTTGTGCCACATGGCTATGCTACATCCATTGGTTCATTTGGCTCTTCCACAATCTCAGTGGAGGGGCTTGGGATCACACACTGGGCACTAGCACTGCCCCAGGGCACTTGCAGTGATCTCTCAGTCATGTCAGAGGATGCTAATGTTGACCATAGATCACTCCAAGTCATGTCCAGTGGTGTGATCAAGATTGCCGTGAGCAGTCTGCAAGCAGCACTAGTGTCCAGCAATATGGTTGAGAGGCTGAAATGAATGCTAGTGTTGCCCACAAATCGCTTGCATCAATCTGTCAATTGCATTGCTGGACACCAGTGCTACCCAAAGACTGCTTACAGCTCATGGTTCTCAAGAGAACCTGAGTATGCACTCATGCTTTTTAATGTTAAAATATATAGGTTGGACCACAAGAAATTCTGGTAAAAATAAAGCAGAAAGACAGAATCATGAAAGATTGGTGTCATACTCCATACAAGAATCAAGTTACAGTCAATCCTACTACCACTGCATCCCCTTTTAACATTAACAAATTATCTCTATAGCGCTAGTCTCCCTTTCCCCAAACCCTCATACTAAAGACAAAACCAAAAATAATATGACCTTTTAAAAGAAACAGTGAGGGTTTTCTATAGTATATGTTCATTAGATTCCTGTATGTAAGTGGCATCTCCTTAGCTGATGAATCAATCAGTTCCAGATATTCAGACTGAGGCGGCCAGTTTTCACCAGGGAATACTTATTCGATTGTTTGATACCCCACCTTTCCTTCTGGAGCAAGGCCGCATGCATAGCATTCCCTCCTCCTATTTTCTCCCACAATAACAGCCTGTGAGGTAGATCAAGTGATTGGCCAAAAGTTTCTCAGCTTCTATGGCTGAGAGTGAACTACAACTTGGGCCCCCCTCCTCTTAGTCTACCACATTAACCACTACCCTACATGTGAAAAGTTTGCTTTGGCCCAGGCTAAAATTGACTTGGAGTAGGGAAATTGATTTAGTGCATTAATACAAGGAGCCAAAGAAAAAAAGGCCAGAGAAGCCACAGTTCAGTGATTTTGAGTTGAAGCTTCTTCACTGAATTAATTTGAGAGCATTCAGACTTCAAAGACAGTTACACACTTACTTCTAACAGAATTATATTCCTTTAGTGCAGAGCTACTTTAAATAAGTATATTTATAGTCTTCAGGTAGCAACATTATTCTGTGTAGGCCAACATATAAGAACTGATCTGGCAGAAAGTCATAGAAAAGATTCAGGAACTGTCACAGCTGTTGGAGACTCTGGCCATATGGAAACAATTCAGTGTGGGACTAATACTCCTCAAAACGTTTGAATCTAGCATGTGCCTGAATTCTTAAACGCTGGGCAGTAGAAATCTTTTATTCTCCTCTTATTTTTTGTTAGTACCTGTTACTGAGAGTCAGCATTCCAATGGAATTTGCAGGAAAAAGCAACAGCTGCTCTGCACACAGCCTAGCAAGGCAAGCTTCCCATTCAACCATAAATTCATCCACAGTGTCCTGCCAAATCATGAAAAGGCTTTTTTCCATTTTTTTTCTCCTCCCTACAGAACAGTCCTCCACTCTCCATTACTGTACTGCTATATTTATTCAGTAATGGCACCAGCCCTTTTGAAACAGCAGCTTTTCCTCTGGAGACTGAACTTGGTAACAGCTGCACTTTACTAGAATTTTCTCTCATATCTGGGAGCTCACATCTGGCTGCCTCTTTTTCAGAGAACTAACGAACCACAGAAAGTTCTGTTTTGAAAGTTTTATTCCTAACAGATCCATATTCTAAATTATATTTCTCATAATTAGTTTGAGATCCATTTCAAGATTCTCACTTTTGTAGGTCTGCAGTGTTCCAAAGAGAACTGCAAATTATGTTGTTAATATAATTACAAGTGGGATTTTCAACAAAATACTGCACTGTGAAATGCCTATATTCAGTATGCCAGCCAGACTATTTCAATATTTCCTTTTCTTTAGTTTTTTTTTATTCCTCCCTCTCCCAGGTAATACATATTTAGCGTTCTGTGGCTAATGAGAGTGTTTTTATTTGTCTATATATAAGGCTCAGCCATCAGAAAATCAGCTCACTATTAAGATATAGAAAGATTACAGAACTCTATAAATGAATTGAATTCATTTGTGAACATAACAATACAGTGTTCTGGGAAATAATAGGTGATAATCAATTGCACATGAAGTGACCTTAAATCAATCATCAGTCCATATCCTGATTTTTTCCCCCTAGAAGACCTCAGCACCACACCTATAAAAGAGTTATGATTTTGTTGATCAACCACCACAGCTCAGTTGTGGGGAAGAGGAGTTAAATGTTGCACCCAGAGTCTTATTTATGAAAAAAAAGAAATAACAGAAGGCAAACAGTATCCCATATCAATACCTTCCCCATGTGCAGTAACTGCTGCACAACCCCCCCCCCCAGGCCAAATAGATGTATACAGCTTTACAGATGCTACTTATTTACTAAGTAATTGGGTACATGCTTCTGTTTTTACCTAAAAATGAACATGCAAACAACGAGAGCAAATTTTATTCCTTCCCTAATTTCTCTGCCCCCAAACTGGGGAATGACTTTCTAGAACCAAATATGGCAAGGTAAAGTGGAGAAGAAGTCACATTCCTCCATATGATAATTCTAGTCTATAAAAATGAGATCCCTATTCAATCTAGTTTTGCCCCTGCTTTTTTTTTTTTTCAGGGTAAGGTTTTCTCAGGGTAAAATCTCTAATATGGTATTACATTTTGTAAATAACATGTAGACAAATTGTCTGGCATAAAACTAATACCTATTATTTTTGAAGGGGAAACAAGGATTCATAATAATAGAGAAAGAAAAATTATTCAGCTGATAAATATTAAGTATTTGATCACCTAGAAGAGAAAGATTCTGATATCTTAAATAGTAAGACCAGTTTTGTATTCTTAATACACACACACACACACACACACACACACGTATATTAAGAATTTTGATTATAATAGTAAAATCTAATACAAACTAAACTTAAAGAAAATAGAATAGAAAGGAGTAAAAAGTGCAAGAAAAGAAAGAAGAAAAAGGTAAGAATATAATAAAGAGAAAAGAAATATATAAAGAAGTGACTTCCAACCTTCATCACAAA